TTATTTATTTATTTTTTTAGAAAGTATCACAAAGGAAAAATAAATTAGTAGAACAGACTCTGGAAAATACTATTTGTGTTACTCAGTTTTACATGGCTGTGACCAAAATATCCAACAAGAACAACATAGAGGAGGGAAAATTTATTTTGGTTCAGATTTAGTTCTTGGTAGGCCAACTCCATTACTCTGGGCCCAAGCTGCAGCACATCATGGTGGGAGGGCATTGTGGAGGAGTAATGCTCCATTCATGGCAGCCAGGAAGCAAAGTGGTCAGGGAATGGGCCACAGGGAAGATGAACCCTTCCAGAGCATAGCCCTCCATGACCTATCTCTTCCAGACAGGACCCACCTGCCTGCTGTTACCATCCAGTTAGTCCATTTGAACTGGGCTAGAGTGATTAGGCTACAGCTCTCTCAATTCAATCCTTTCCACCTCTGAACACTCTTACATCAACCTAGGATCTTTTGAGGGTCACTTCATATACCAACCACATCACTGATATAAAAGCAACATTTCTTAGTTGTAGGTGAAGCAGTTTAAAAGGCAGGACAAGTTTTCTAATGTTAGCCTTGCAAACTCAATCTTAAAAGTGTCTCTCCCTCTCTTCCTCTCTCCTTTTCTGTCTCTTCATTTATGCATCACAGGCTTAGTCCACTATGCAGGAAAGCCATCCATGCAGAAAAGACTTGCTCACACAGTATGCAAAACAGAATATCTTGCTTGAATTATCATTTCTTATATGTTTGAAAATGATAGTTGATATGAGGGAAATAGTATTTTTATCTCCCACCTATAAGAATGTTATGAGAACTGAATAAAGAATGCAGGTAAAGTGCAATAAAAGTCCCATTGCCCTACATTAAAACCTATAGAATGATACCTAAAGCATGCTATTGTAACACACAGTTATTTTTAGATTCATTGTGATGTACATTACAAGTTCACAGTATTTTCAATTTTGTGCTATTATGTAATTTTTAAGAAGAAAAAAATTGTGTATTTATAATAATATTGTTTTATTCATTTGCTTTCTGAAATGTTTTCTTCGGTGGGAGAAAGAAGGAAAAAGTGTTAGTAATCTGTTAGAATTTTTCTGGTAATGGACTCTCTCTGTTATTATTTGGCACATTCATTGATGTGAACAGGTCTCCTGAAGTTCATGTGTTAGAAACTTAATCTCCAATGCAATAGTTTTGAGGGGTGGGATCTTTAAGAAGACATTAAACCAGGAGGGCTGTGCTCTTGTGAATGGATTAATGCCATTTTCTTGGGAGTTTGATTGTCATAGTCAGAGTGGGTTCCCTAGAAAAAGATGAGCCCCCTTCTCTCATATGCAAGAGTGCTTTCTTGATCTTTTCCCCTCTGACATAGGATGATACAGGAAGAATTTCCTCACCGGATGCCACAGTCTTGATATTAGACTTTGCAGCCTTCAGAACTATAAGAAACAAATTTCAAAGAATTGAAATTTGTTTCTTATGGAAGATTCTGTTGAAGAGTCCAAAGAGAACACTGTACGGAAAATCTGAGTCTTCTTAAGAGATTACTTAGGTGGCTGTGACCAGAGTGCTGTCAGAAAGATGAACAGTATAAGGCAACTCTGGTGAGGTCTGAGAAATGAGGAACAGGTGTTGGAAACTAGTAAAGACCATCCTTGCTATAAAGCAGCAAAGAACTTGGATATATTGTGTGCATGCACCAAGACTTTATGGAAAGCAGAATTTAAGAGCAATGAACTAGATTACCTGATGGAAGAAGTTTCTAAGCAGAAGGTTAAAGGAGCTACTGGCTTCTTTTAACTGCATACAGTAAAATGAGAGAAAAGAGAGATGCTTTAAAGACAAAATTAATAACTCAAAGGGAAACGGAATGTAAAAATTTGGAAAATTCATAGCCTGCCTATGTAAAGAATGAAGAAAACAAAAAGGGAGCAAGGACACAGCCAAGTGATGCTTTGATAAAGGGATTAGCATGGCTAGAAGGGAGCCAGGTGCTGTTCATCAAGATAATGGAAGAATGACCCTGAAGGCATTTCAGAGATTCTCAAGCTGCCCTTCCTATCACAGGCCCAGAGCTCTAGGACAGAATAGTTTGGGAGGATGGGCCTTGGGTGCCTTCCATGGGCTTGCTGCCCAGCTCCAGTGCCTCGGGATTCTGCTCTGTATTTTGTTTTTCAGTGCAGCTTGCCCGCCTCAGTTTTGGCAAAAGTGGCCTCAAGTGCACCCTGGGCAACCTTTTTGGAGGGCACAGGTGGTAAGCCTTGGTGGTGTCCGTGTGGTGCTCATTCTGCAGGCATGCAGAGCACAAGAACTGTGGGCACATGGCTTCTTTCACCTCCACTTCGAAGGATTTCACAGACAGTTTGGGAGCCAAGCAGAGACTTCTTGCTACAGGGACATAGCATGGACTTAATAGGATATATTCCTCACACTTGTTCTCGATGTTTTGGAATTCAAAAGAATGGAGTTACCTGCTTAAATGCAGGTATTCCAACTGGAGCTCTGGGATGATGCTGCTGAGGTCTGTTTGGAAGCTAGCAAGTGAGCCAGAGCCAGGTCTGGGGACTCTGACCTTGCTGTTAAAGCTAACTCCACGGAAAGCCGTTAGATGGTGACCTGAGTGACTGGACTATTGAATCCATCTCGTTTTTTAATTCCAGAGGCATACCAAGCAAACAACCCTACAGTCTTAAAGGTGGTGTCTGACACTTTAAATGATTGATTCATTTCAAAGTTGAAGGCCATGTGGTCACTGATTTCTAGAGAGCCAAGTCTTGGTGGAAGGACCCTCATCATAAGGCACAGACATACAAAGTAAGGGACACAGATGTATTTCTCAGAATCCAGAAAAGTCTTCATGTCTTATAGGAAAACTTAATTAGAGGGACAGGTGAGAATCATAGGAGGAATCACTTGGGGGTTTGGATTTTGGCTAGTGTTAAGTCCCTCCTGTCTCTCTTTGCTTTCACTTCTTTTGCCACCATTACCCTTGTGTCTTCGAACAAGCTTTTAGTGAATGCAAGGCATGGTGACATTTCCTCAACAACAGTGGTGGGCAAGAAGGGACAGGACTATGGAAAGGAAGTCAAAGAGTTATAACCCAGAAAGGTGCTATCCTTTGACTATTTACCTTAAGTCTGCAACTTAGGGCTACCCAGATGCATCTAAATATATCAGTGTTTGTGCCTCTCCCCAAATCATTACTAACAGGATCTCTGTGTGGGAGGCCCAGGTACTTTATAAAGCTCCTTGGGTCATTATTCTAAGCAGCTGGGATTGAACTCTAGTGTTGTCTATCAACCTAATCTCCCTCCGTCCTCCTCATCTTGCTCCTCTACCCTTTCTCTTCCTCCTCCTTCTTCAATCCAGTAGGAGACATAATATGAACCATGTCCCTAAGGTTTTGCTCATACTGCTCAGTAGAGCTTTCCAAGGAGAACGGAGCCCCAGGTAATATAACCTTGTGAGACAGATAATCCTTCTTCTCTCTTTGTTGTGTTTGCCCATAACATGGCCTGGACTACACAGAGAACAAAGTGTAAGAAGATACCCTTGTATAAATACCCATGGCCTCAGAGGTGAAGGGCAATGTATTTTTTTCATATGACTTTGTTTGACAATTTCTGAGCATGCTCAGATTCTGAAAGTTGATTCTATAAACCTAAGGTAATGATTTTGTTTTCCTATATTTCCTTCTGAACTTTTCTTCTTAAAGTACAAAAAATCAAAATTTATTTCAATCAAATAAACAGGAAGAGATAATAAATGTGGCTTATTTTCTTTATGGTGTCCCCAAGGATACCATGTGGGAAAAAGAAGCATAAAGAATTTGGGGAAGAATGGAATGATGGGCAGAAGTTCATGGTCTTTTTTTAAAAATATTTATTTATTTTTTTAAATTGCATTGCCATTCTTAATACACCATTATATCATAATTTATCATATCTCTGATTATATATAAGGAATGTTGACACCAAATTCACACCTTCATACATGTATTTTGTATAATGATGAGGGTCTCCTTTCACCATCCATGCTATTCCCCTTCTCCCTCCCTATCCTTCCCACCTCTATTCCCTATCTAGAGGTAATCTTCCTCCCTTGCTCTCCCTCCCAACCCCATTTTGAGTCACCCCCCTTATATCAGAGAAGACATTCGGCATTTGTTTTTTGGGGATTGTCTAACTTCACTTAGCATAATCTTCTCTAATGCCATCCATTTCCCTGCAAATGCCATGATCTTATTCTTTTTTATTGCTGAGTAATATTCCATTGTGTATAAATGCCACATTTTTTAATCCATTCATCCACTGAAGGACATCTAGGTTGGCTCCACAGTTTAGCTATTGTGAATTTTGCTGCTATAAACATTGATGTGGCTGTGAGAGTTCATGATCTTGAATGTTCTGTATATCATCAGCTGAAAAAACTTGAAAAAGAACCCTGATAATAGCAGGAATGTTTGATGCTTCCAAGAATTTTGTCAGATGAGAATTTTCGGGTCCATTCCATATTTCAGAAAACAGGGCTCTCACTTCATTCTCTGTTATCTCTGATAGAAATAATAAGCCATCCCATCTCAGTGGGAAGAAAAGAAAACGTAAGGAAGAGTCAAGAACCAACCAACACTCATTCTTTTATGAGAAATAGGAAAGAGTGATGGAGAAATAAATTCTTTTACCAAAGAAACCTTCAAGTGAGAAAGCAATTCTGTTTGCTTTGAGCTAACAAAGAACAAATTGGTCTAAATAATAAAGTTCTTGAGACAACATATTGGTTATAGTAATGAAAAATGCTATTAGTATCTTTCTTGTTCTTAATGCCACATTTGTTAGTAGTTAGGCATGTTGGAAGTTTTATACTGTTTGGGAATCTCAGAATATTTTTCCAGTTTCTCTTTTGCTTTCTAGAATTTTGTTCATTTTTTAAAATTTTGTGCTTTTAAAAATTATGTGTAATATGTTTTTAACTAATGTTGCCTCTTCTGATTGTTTTGCCAGGTTGTTTTCGATCACATCCTCTATGACTGTGGCAATCAATATGAGTCAGAGTTCATACAATCCCTCTTATCCTCCTCATCACCGTCATCATCATCACTATCATCAGGATGAAATCATGACTACTATATCTTAAAAAATCAAGACTTCCATATTCTATAGAAAATTTCAATGTAAATAATAGCTTTTTATTTGTTAGTTTATTTTTTTGGATTACTAATATAAAAACCATATTTTATTCAGCCACCAGAGGGAGCTCCCAAATCTATGGATTCTAAAAGAAAATAAGGCTGAAATACATTTGGAAAAGTTATATTATGGTTGACAATCAAACATTCAATCAGCTGAAACTCATGGTGTTATTGGCTCATCTGACAGGTCTTCTGTACATTGAGTGCCTAAAATCCTGCCCTTCTATATTGCCACATTATTTTAATGCAGTTCTTAAATAATAGTCTTCTTCTTCTTCTTCTTCTTCTTCTTCTTCTTCTTCTTCTTCTTCTTCTTCTTCTTCTTCTTCTTCTTCTTTTTTTAGTTTTGGATAGTATTGACTAACTTCCTTGTTTTGAATGTATAATTATATGTTATATGTCTCCTACTACTTCTCTTTTTGGTCCCAAATTTTCTTAAATTGTACCTTTACATTGTCAAACTTACAGTACTTTACCGTAAATTTAGTGCTTACTGTGTATCACGCCTTCTCCTTCCTTATTCCTTTGTTTGGATTCTTACTGACTAGATTTCATTGTCAAATTTTATTTTTTATTTATTTTTATTTATTTACTTATTTATTTATTTACCAGGGGTTGAACCCAGGTGCACTTGACCACTGAGCCACGTCCTCAGCCCTTCCTACTTTAGTTTTTTTTTTTTTTTTATTTTGAGACAGGGCCTCCTTAAGTTGCTAAGGTTGGCCTTGAAGCTGCTGGGATTCCAGGTGTGTGCCACCACATCCAGCTAATAGCTAATTATTATTATTATTATTATTATTACTATTATTGTTTTTTAGTTTGTTTTTTTAAAGAAACGTTGTGATCTGGAATCCTTGACGTTTTCACTTTTGGGGATGACTGCTTGTTGCCTCACCTCTGTTTGACAATGAAGCTAGTTATGATATTGTCAGGTCATGTTTCCTCTCCCTCATTTATGATTTGATTTTATTCCAAGAAGAATGGGGTGTTTCAATTTTTTTTTTCTACAAATACTATGTGGGTGTGGGATGGGGAAGGAAATTATCCAACTATTTCCTGAAGGCAGAGCAAGTTCCTACAGACCTGACTCTCCCATTACGATGGGTCCTGGATCTCCCAGAACAAGCCTCCTTTCGGATGCCAAGCATCTTAAAAGTGAGCCTCTCAGCTACATTTCCTTGGAGCTTGCCAGGACTTTCCTCTCCTAGCTTCATTGAAATATAATTGGTATATTAAAAAAGATGCACATTTTATAATTCGGGCATATGCATACATCTGTGACACTATCACCACAATCAAGGAAATACACATATCCATCATCTCTGAAAGTTTACTAGACCCCCAGCACCCCTCCCCACCAGATACACACACGTGTGTGTATGTGTGTGTGTGTGTGTGTTTGTGAGTGTGAAGAATGCTTATCTTAGTGGGACAATTCCTGGGAGGGACAGTGCCTAAAAGAATTTTGCGTTTACTTATTGCCTTTGTACTCTACTTTAAAGTGTCCCAAAGTTTTCTCACACAGACATGTAATAAACCCCATTTTGTAGCTGTGGAAATTGATGAGCACAGAGGTTAAGCAAAGTACCCAAGGCCATGGTGCAGATGAGTGAGAGAACTGGGAGAGGATCCAGGACTCTGAACTGCTGGGTTGACATACCATCTTCCACGGCTTCACAGTGCTGTGATCTGGCCTACTTCTACCCATCACACTCAGTCAGAATCAGCTATTCTAATTCCCATTTTTTATTTGAAATCAATGGTATTTCACCACAGTTACTAGAATATTGTCTCAACAGAAAACTGAATTATAAATAATGAATAGAGGTGAAATAGATTCCTTTAAAGTCAGTGTTGATCTATTCATTCTTCTTCACTTTCTTTAACCTCTTATTTTCTCCAGGCTACTTATAAACATATCCAGGTTGCTAACAAGAAGTTTTAATAAAGATACTGCCTGAATATCAATATTTTGGACAAATAAAAAAGATATTCTATTTGATGTTGGTATAAATGTATTTTAACAAGATATTTATTTCTCTGTTGATAATTAAAAAGCTATTTATAAATAAAGTAAATAAATAAAATCATCATTTTTATTTGTATTATTCCACAAAGTATAGCAATTTTCTAACAAATACAAATATGTATTTAATAGGATGATGGATTCATGTTTTTTGTTGTTGTTGTTTTGTTTTGTTTTTGGTACTGGAGATCAAACTCAGGGGTGCTTTGCCATAAGCTACATTCCCAGTTCTTTTTCTTTTTCAGGAGGCTGAGATAAGAGGATTACAAGTTGGAGGGTCTCAGCATTTTAGCTAGATCCTCAACAACTTGAAACTGTCTCAAAACAAAAAATAAAATGGATTCTAGTTGTTGATGAGTCAAATGAGCTCACTTCCCTTCCTACTGAAGAAATTTAAGTAATGATCTGGTCTCCCAGACACAAAGGGAAGTCAGCAAGCTTCCTACACTGCTGTGATTGACTCCTGGGCTATTGCTGTTTTAATCTGGTTTTTCAAGGCTATGACCAAAAGACCTGACCATCATAATTATAGAAGAAGAATAATTTATTTGAGGGCTCACAGTTTCAGAGGTCTCAGACCATAAACAGCAGACTCCATTCCTCCGGGCTCAAGGTGAGGCAGAACATCATGGTGGTTGAGTGTGGCACATGGAAGTAGCTCATGTGATGATCAGAAAGCAGAGAGAGATCTCCACTTGCAGATACAGATATATATCCCAAAGCCATGCCCCTAATGACCCACCTCCTCTAGCCACTCTCCATCTGCCTTCAGTTACTACTCGATGAATCCCATCAGGTGATTAATTCACTGATTGGGTTAAGGCTCTCATAACCCAATCATTTCTCCTCCAAACCTTCTTGCATTGTCTCACACAGGAGCTTTTGGGGTTCACCTCACATCAAACTGTAACACTGCTTTCCCAGATGCAGTCACAAATGTCAAGGAATGTACCAGAGTAGGGCCCTTGATGCTGTGGCTACCCTAGAAGCATGGGACATCCCAAGCTCTACCCCTGCCTCCCACTCCATCTATTAGTCTACTGGTCCTCCACTGTCCAGCTACCCTTCCTAAGAAAGTCACAGGACTGGTTTGGTACAGGGTCCCTCATCACACACATTCTGTCCCCTGCACTAATAAGGACCAGGACTGCTGCCTCCTCAGCCTACCACAAGGGGCAGACACTGACTGATAAAGTGTTTATAAAGAAACAAATTCCCAGGGAAAAGCAGGCAGATATAAAAATATAAACAAACAAACAAACAAAAAGATTTTAAAAAAATAAAATTTGACATAGCTCCATTGCCACCTTTAATAGCACATCACATGAGACAGGGTTTATTTCCCTCTTTTAAAAATAAACAACTCTTCATTAATGCTGAAAAAGTATGAACTTAAGCTTTAAAATGGGTGTAATTTACATTTTTTTCTAGATAGCATTCACTTTCTTATATTTTGTATTTCAAATTTAATAATTTTATAAATATGTTTCACTCAGATGTCCCAGCTTTGTTATAATTCTCTCAATGAATAATTCATTCCTTAGAAAGCACCCTTTGCAAAGGAAAAAGCATGATGAACATTCATTTTAACTTCCCTTGCCAGTCAATGGTTTTCATCCTTTGCATTTTTCAAAACCTGAGCCAAGGTGCATAAAACATTCTTATTCTTAATGAGCAGAGCTATATGCAAAATTCAAAATTTTCAAGACTGTGGAAAGCATTATGAAGAAATATCATTCCTGCTGATGGCTGAGCACAGTCTTACCTACATAATCCTAACTTCAGTTTTTAGCATGGTAGTGACAAGCAAGAACTTGAGTTCAACTGCCGGGGTCTGAAATTTTGCTTCCCTACTTATGGAATTATCTTGGGCATGTTACATAATTTTTCTGTATCTCAGTTTCCTCATTTATACAGTTATAAAATGGAAATAATAATAGTATTTATCAGTTTGTTAAATAAGATCTAAAAATTTTGCATATTACTAAAAAAATATAACAGTGCACAACACTGTTTGTTTATTTATAAGGATTAAACTCAGGAATGCTCTGTCGCTGAGGTACATTCAAAGCCCTTTTATACTTTTTGAGACAGGGTCTCACTAAGTTGCCAAGGCTGGCTTCAAAATTACAATTCTCCTTTCTTTGTCTCCCGAGTCCCTGGAATTATAGTCATGGATCATCATACCTGGTTGTTAACTTGTTTAAATAAAATAAAGCACATACTTTTTCACTGCATCATTAAGTTCTAGGTCGACACTATATACTTAATTGAGTCATTTCCTCCTGACCTACCCAGAATCTTGCAGTAGAAGTCCTGAGAGTGGGATGCATTGTGGAGCAACTTTCTCATCTACAAAATGGTGACTGTGATTTTCCTTGGAGTTGTGATGTGAAATGGAGGGAAATGGCACATGTGGAGTGCGTAGAAAAGGATCCAATTGGAAATAGGTACTTGCTAATTGCACATGAATAAATATAAATAACAGATCAGCTCAAAAAAAAAAAACCCCACAAAGATTCAAGAAGATAAATAACTACCACAGAAACGAAAAGAATTGTTCAGAGGGTCAGATTGTTTGGGCCTTTTATTTTCAGATTCAAATTAAACTATTTCAACCCACACTTTTTTAAAAGTAAAGGAACTCTTCAGGAAGAATTTCTAAAAAATGTTATCCCTTCTTTGTTTTATAAACATTTCTTGAGTTAGAATTTTAAAATTCAATCTTTTCATAATAATAATAATAATAACTTTCTATTTCTGTTATGGTTTACTTAGATGTACATAAAACAAATGGAGATACTTGTGTGTGTCTTTCTTCTTGTGCAACTCAGTGGTGAAGCAATAACCACTCAGGGCTTTTTTTTTTTGTGAAGATGACTGGGAAGAAAATGAAAAGCATGGGGTCTAATTACAAGTCAGTGATTTATATGCAAAAGGGAGGTAAAATTGTGTGGTGTGTACTAGGCACCGTCTTCATTTTGACAAACTGGATTTTATGAAAACATATCTGGGGATGAGCCTTAAAAAATGTCCCTCAAACACTGTGGAATGGTTGATAGATAATTTTGGAGTATATATTGTGGTGGCCTGAGAGTTTAGTGACACAGATGATTTCAGATCATTTGAGAATTGCATGGTGATGCATAACCATGTTAACTGGGAGCTTAGTGGATGGTGGGAGAGATTGGACTTAGGAATCTGCCCAAACAGAGGGTACGTAAGAGCACTGAGATAGGACAGGCTATCTGGGAAAGTCTCTGGAGTTGGCCACTAGAAGGAACCAAACAGGCCCTGATGTGGGGCAAAATCAATGAGCAAATGGTGCTTGCAGAGAAGGGGGCTGAGGAGTGCCCTATGGGAGACATTTATGTCAGGGCAGTCCCTCTAGAACCAGATAGGCATCATCAGTCTATCATAGGATCTAGAGGACAGGTAAGGACAAGACAGAGCACAGAACTGCTGGGAAAGACATAGTTGTACTAGAACAGAACTCAGTTGATACTGAGTTATAAGAAAATAGGATTGTTTGGGGAACTAGGACATCTTATGTAAACAGGATTTATAAAATTTCCTTGCTTAGAGAAAAGATAGATTTTAAAACCTAGGTTTATGTTGAAGCTATAGGTGACAACTTAACTGTACAACATAATTAAAACAATCTGTGCCAATAACTTATAGTGAATACATTTGTGAATTTCACAGAAGGATTTTATTTACTATCCCTCACAAAGGCACATGCAAACCAAAGTGCAGTTCTGTAAAATTCAAAGCAGGGCCACCGAGAGGAATTATTCCACGGATCTATGTGAGCTGCTCTCTGTCAAGAAGTTTTTGTTTTGTGCTGGTGGTACCAATACTCAAGAGTCTGGGCCACACAACTTTTCTTATGAAGATTAAAGGAAGGAAAGACCCTGGTTGAAATATGTCAGCTTCTACTACCTTCATTGTTTATCCAAAGACAATCAGATGGTTGACCTATTTTTTTGTTCTAATAACCAACCTTATTTAAATGTTGACGTGAGAATTGTTCCTGCATGACTAACTGTCTGGGGGAAAAAACAGAATTGTTTTTCTGAGGAAAAATGCTACCATCTAAAAACCCTATTCTCTGCCAACTATTGGTCATATACTTTAGAAACAGAAAGTTATTTTCTCAGGTGCAAATTCTCAGAAAATATAATGCACACATTCAATTTGGAAGAAAAAAAATCTCTGTTTATGATCTGTTAAAAATACAGGTCATAAAAACAAGAAAATTATGGTATAAAAAGAGATAGTAAGCACTGAAACTATTTGAACATTGTTTTATTTAATCAATAGATATAGTATGTATGAAAATACAAAAACTAATTTTTTAAATGAAAGATAGATAGCATGTGTCAATACCAAATTGGACCTACAAATCCATATTATCCTTTATTAAAACCAACGACTGGGGTGGAGTTGGTAGGTAGACTAAGTAGATCATGCTTATTTTTCATCTTTCATGGGGGAAATCAATAGATGACCCTTCTGCACTGATGTAGAACATTGTAGAGGTACACAATGCAGCATAATTTAAAAATCTTAAATAATGAGTTAAAATCTTAAAATCTTTTTAAATAATGAAGTATAAAAGAGAGTGGCTTCTAAATAACTATAGAACTTGAGCAAGCAAAATACCCATTAAGGAAACACACACAATTAAAAGTAAACAGAAAACCCAAAAGAAATAGCACAAATACAGGGATGTTTATATCCTTGAATATTTCCTGTGCAACCATAAAAGAAACAAAACTTGAACTCATTGTGAAAACATAATGATTAAAATTAGACCACTCCAAAATATCTAAATATCCACTCTATGCAAAAAAATAGCAAAAAGTAAATAATAACAGGATGGATGAAGATAAATTTGGCAAACAACTACTAAATAAAAGAGTAGCACTAATAATATCCACTGACATACAATCCAAACAAATCAAAATTCCAATGATATTCCTCATAGAAATAGTAAAAGCAGTCATGAAATTCATCTGGAAAAATAAGAGACCCAAATAGCTACAACAATCCTTAGTAAGAAGA